GAAGTGAGTGACCTGCCTCAGGCCTCCAGAAGTAAAGCTATTAAGATATTAAAGGCTATTTCAAGCTAGTTAAAACTTAAGGCCACAAGTAACCAGTTATGGATGAATTATGTGGCAGTGCATTCTGAAAAGCTTTTTAAAAAAAATTATTATACACACACACGGCACATTTGGAAAATATTAAACCAAGCGGGGGGGGGGAAGAAACAGAGAAAAGATTTAAGCAACCAAAATTATAGCTTAGAAGATTTTGGTACTTTTCTAACATACTAGATGTAAAGTATATTTGTTATCTGATCATTAAAAATAGAAAACCAATTTATAAAGACTGTCCTTAAGAGATCAGACTTTACATTATCCCGGGTACACAAGATTTTAGTGTCACTGTTGACAATGATTTTCCAGAAATGAGATGTGTCAGTGCCCTACAACCAGTTTCCACATTTAAAACAAATATCACGGCTTGGGTTTTGTTTTCAAGATACAGATTTCCCAAAAAGGGAAAAAAGTGCATTCCAGCCGATGCTGTGAACTCCTGCAAGTGTCCCCATGATGCCCAGCAGTGCACAATGCCTCCAAAGGGGAAGCAAGACAGCCACTTTAGCAGGCAGGCAAGTTAATTTAGTTTTGCCTGTTAAGCAGAGTTAGCCTAGAAGAACAGCCACGTGATACCAGTTATAACACTACTTCCACTTCAGCAGATTGTATACTTCTGGCCTCCCCCCTCTGAAAAGCACATCTGGCTCCAACTACGAGGGTGGATTGTACACCAAGTTAGATTTATTTTTGTAATTACTCTCTTTTTCCCCCCAGAGTCAGGAGTTTCAGACTTCTGGAAACATTCTATGCTACCTCTGCTGCCACATAAGAGTTTCCAGAACTTCTGTATTCACCTGAATACTTTTACCATTAATAGTGACACCAATTCCCACCTGAATTACAGATCACTCTTGAAAGATGAATTAATTAAATTGATTCAAAGTGTCATTATTATGTTTATATTTAAGATTGTGAAAAGCTCTTTCCTTAGCAGAGTTCTGCAGCCAGGCTGATGAGTTTTACAGCAAAATCAATTTAACCGAATGTCAAGAGAACATTAACATGGAAATGGTAAGCTGAAAAATGGAGCACTTGAGGCAATTCTCAGGAAGGGCATTTGCAGGCTAATATACAGCTGCCCAGCCAACTCCCGAAGAAATGATTACAGAAAGGAATATCAACTTGGACTATTTGCTGGACTGCAAAGGATTCCAATATTATCCTATCACTGAAAGGGAGAGAAGGGTTTTTACCTAACATTTTAACCTGTTGTGGTATTTTTCCTTAACAGTATCAAAGAGCAAGTTACTCTAATCATATTAGTTTTTTAAAAACAGAGACATGTATGACAGCAAAAACAAAAACCCTATGTGAAACCTAGCTTTTCTTGGTCTTCTTCAAGTCCTGAATGGTCGGGTAGAACCCTCTGTGCGCACACTGCTTAGATCTGGAATATCAGATTAATTCTGGAAGCAGAGGGAGTACAAGACATTTTCAAATGAGTAAAAGCTAAGCTTTCTATTCAAGCAGACAGAGATGCCCCATAGCCTGTTCTGGAGCGCCCTCTTCTGGTTAGAGGCTGGCGAGCACAGCTGCAGGAACTAGGATAGGATGCCCCGTCCACAAAAGTTATTTTGAATTTCCTCTACAAAAGAGGAATTCCTGCAAGCAGGGTGGATATGAGAGCAAGGCTATTCACTGCCAGTTTATGAGAACACAATTTTTTAAGGAGACCTAGTGAAGGCAGAGTGGATAAGTGAATGTTTGGGACCTAAGGTTTAAAACAAAACTTTTGCTCTCAACATTTTACGAAATGCTGGTAGACCCGTTTCCTTTGGGTTCAAGGAAGTGAATGGACAATTAGTCATAGAGATTTGGAGATATACCCGAGACGTAAAGGAGTATGATCACAGGCATTTATTTATTTATTTATTTATTTAAATTATTTTGGATTTCTGCTCTTTAAATGATGAGAAGTCACATTATTCATTCTCCCAATGGGGAAAAAAGCCAGTATGCTTTATATTTATGACCAGCTGGCAATCTTACTTATGTTATAGCCTCAGATGTCCCAGGCCCCATCCTATTTTGTGTGATCTTTTAAAACTGCAGTAACTTAGTGTGCGCACAGTCTTCCATTGCTCTTCTCGTCAGACTTCTATTCTCTTTCTTCAGAGCCAGAGGGAACACTGAAATGCAAGTCAGATTTGATTACTCCTTTCCCTTTCTTGCCATGAGCTTGGCTTGGAAGCCCCAGTTACCCATCATGGCTAATTGCTGGTATTTGCTACAGTTTGAAATTTCAAGAGATCCGAGTCTACTGAGCTCGCTGCCAAGCTGCAAGAAAATGACCATGTTCTCCCTCTTCTGTTTGAAAAAAAATGACCGTCTTCTATAAGAAAAGTTGGTGCATCTAGAGAGCTTCCCTTGGAAGGAACTCAGGCTCCTGGAAAGTCTTATCAGTTGGCTTCCTTAACAACTGGTTTTCATGATATTCATAGCAAGTTGTTCTATACTCTCAAACACATGGCTGCTATACCCAGTGCTGTAGGGTATGGAGTCAGTCCTGCTGATTCAACATCTTAAGAAAAGAAAGAAAGCTCTCACCTCAGCCTTTGCAGTGATTGTTTCCATAGCAACTCAGTGACCCAAGATTTGAACTCAGGTCACCAAGGCAGATCTTGGAAATGCTGCCAGGAGGTGGTGGAAGGGTGGGGGGAACAAAATCAAACCAAACTACTTTTCTGTATTCTAGTCTTCACCATGAATGATGGTGACTCGCACCATGTGTTGAAGTGTTAATGGGAAGACAGCCACGGACTCTGTAGAGGTTCTCTCCCTAGCAGAGAAATGAATTTTCAGTTTTTCCAATATTATCAAGACACCAATTTGCAGAAATGAGTTTTCCATGGAACTTTCCCAGAAAGATCAGGAAATGGTGGGAGTTGGCAAGGGGAGGAATGGAGAGAAGGTGAAGAAGAGGAGAGTTTTTTGCACTTACTTCATATAGTTTTCTATAGATGCACAGTCATTCCCTTGTCCCCCACATCAACCAAAGTGACTTGGTTTCAAGTCAATCTACAATGACAGCAAGTAATACACTACTGCCCACAGAGTTAAACTATGCATATGCCTTTAAATTCCAAACTCTGCAATGAGATCCTTTTTTATGGAAGCCTGTGAGCTTTAGGACATAAGGGATTTGTTGGGTTCTTTTTATAGGGCAAATAGCATGAAGCAGCAGCAAGAAAGAGCTAAGCACCTATGTGAGTAGCAATCTCCATGTGCACTACTGAACATCAGGTGTACATGATATTTTATATACATGCCCCTCAATCTAAGGCAGCAGCTCTAGAACAGACTCCTTTTTGGTTGCTTAATGACAGACAGGTCATCTTAAAAGGCACCATGGGGTTTAGAACCATTCCTACCAAGGTGCTCTGCCTCCTCCAGCACCAGAAAAAATATTAGTTTGTAGGGGTCTACATAAAATGCACACAATCTATCCCATACATCTTACACATGCTCTCTCTTCCTGGGTACCAATGCTTCACTCCAATCATAGGCATTACCCACACTCTTTACTTTGGAAACATGTCAACATTATGCACTAGTTTGTGACTAGAACTTAACATTCCGTATAAAGGGATGCTTTAAGCATTGACACATTTATTTAAACTTGTTTAAGGGTTCACCCCCCATTTTGCATGTCTATTGTAATCTCATTCAGACTTCTTTCATGCAATTATATTATAGGTAAAACTTCCCACTTTGAAGTTGTTTCCAGAACCCACAGGGTTCACCTTGCCTTCAAGACTGCTCTTCTCCTGTTTATTATGAATGACACTTGATGAAGACAAAAAAGATACAGTTGCTACAGAGCGCAATCAAGTCTGCAACCTCTCTCAATGAGGCATTTTAGATGGGGGGGGAAAAAAAAAAAAAAAATCACAGAACTCTGCTACTGCAAAGCAAAGACCATACCAGGAAGGAGAACTGCCCACAGATCTCCTGAGGCACAACTAATGAAAGCAAATCAATAGCCTGGTAAAGCAGAAGCTGCTAAAAGCCAAAGCTCTCAAACAGCAGGTACTCCACGAACAAAGCAAAATAAAGACAGGTTGGCTGAGTACCCTCTCAGCATGAATCAGACTTGCATATTGGTTAAAATGAAGTATTATAGATTGAACAGTGGCAGTCAATATTTATCAAGCCAGTTGGAACAGCCATGTCAGAATGGGAGGAATGATGTACCATAGTTCTGGGTTACATTTGTGCCTGCTGTGGTTAAGCAGTCGCATTGTATCACCACCATTTCCCCAGATAGCTAAGAAATTAAGAAGTGCTTATAAGTCCATCACATAATGCTTGTAAGTTATCTATAAGCTCCAGTACCAGCTCACCACATAAACTAAACACAAATTAAAAACTTTTCCACTAACGGATCCTTATTAGGATGATGTGCAATAGACAGGAAAGAGGTCAATTAACCACAATCTGACCAGGAAATTGAAAGACAAGTACTGCTGCAACTAAGTAGGTAATCAAACCCCTGGGTCACTATTAATTTCAAAGTAAACAGTTTCCCACATTAGTAATGTTAACACACACACCCCACCAAATATTAATAATGATGTACACATTTTTATAAGAGAGGACTAGTAAATCAGGGAATATTAGAGTGCTAGAAAAGGTGACTATTACAAATAAATCTCACCCCTATTTACCCTTGGGGCCACCTAGAAACTGATCCTCTTGTAGCAAATGTCACCTGTCTTTAGGCAGCTCCTTAGCACAAATACAGCAACTATCTTTCACGTCTAGCTGTAGCTCACCTCTCAACCTACAAACCGAGACTCTGATACCTTGATTCCCCATTACATTTGCTATGGTCAGCAGGTATCACAGAGAGGAGTTTCTCAATAATGGAGTGGACTTCCGCAGATCAGGATGAAACCAGTTCCAAGTCTGACAAAAGCTGCAAAACCTAAATAGAATTTCCTCAAAACAGAACGGCTGCTTACAGGCGCTGAAACCACCCACCTGCAAATGTGTTTTACCAAAATGTGCTTTACCTAGCTCTGCATTGTTTGTATAGATCAGGTGCTTCAGCAGGGCTTTTTGGTGCTTTTCTCTAAAGCCGAGTCAATCAGCTATTATATAAAGTAGAGCTGCACCGACACATTAGTCTGATACCGGATCGGCACTGATAAAAAGAAAATTGACTGTATTGGAAATTGGCCCAATGCAGCCAATAGTTTGGCGAATAAATGCCCATGCACGCGCGCAGCCAGCCACAGCACAGCACATAGGCAGCAAGAAGCACAGCTTGGCAGCTTGGAGAGTTGCATCCAGCTGGTAAGTCTGGTGTGGTGGAAGGGGAGGGGGAAGGGAAGGGATGTGGGGGGGCAGATCAACGCTCCCCATGGTGAGGGAAGGAGGGCTGAGGTAGGTACTGCCTAGCCAGGGCAAGGCGGGGAGGGGTGGGGGCGGCTCCTGCCACTGCTCCCGCCACTTGTCCAGGAGGGCGTGAGGGGGAAAGGGAGGGGAGGGGGGCTGTGCGAGGCAAGGCAGGCTGCAGCTGTGGGCTGGCTGCTGCACTGCACTCGGGGCAGGTGGTGGTGGTGCTAGGTGGGGGGCTAGGGTGAAGTCTGGGGTGGCTGCAGCCCCCCCCGCCCCGTAGCGTCTTTTGCAGCATCACTACCTGCCCCAAATGCTGCCCAGCCCCGGGCCCTAGCTGCAGCCCGCCCTGCCCCACCCTGCACAGAGGTGGGAGCCACCTTCCCTCTTGGCGCCCCCCGGATGAGCCATGGCTCCGTCCCACGCCCACCCCAGCAGCGCCTACCCTAGCCCTATTCCCTCCCTCACCATGGGGGGATTGATCTACCCCCCATGCCACTTCCCTCCCCCCTCCCCTTTCACCACGCCAGACTTACCAGCTGGACTCAATTGCATCAGAAATCAGATCAGTATTGGTCGATGTGCCTCCTTAAAAATCAGCTAGTGGTATCACTCTCAAAATGCCTATCGGTTCACCCCTTATATAAAGTACCAACAAACCCCCACTAAAGTGCCTGATCTATATAGGTGTTAGGTGAGCTGGCTCCAACTAACGTGATGCCTCTTCTGGGTATGTGATGGGTTTGGCGCAGAAGTACACCGAGTTTAAAAGTGCCACTTCCCCCCCCCCCCCCCCCCCCCAACGTCTGTAAGCACTGCATGTGTTAAAGCAGCAAGTCATCATTAGCTGCCACACAGAGCCAAAAGAGGCAAAGGGAGAACTGCCTCTTCCTGCATCCCACTCAAATTCAGCCTGTCCTCTCTATCCCCCTCTTCAGATCCACAGCCACAACCTCCTCTTCAGCCTTGACAAATACAAGCTTGCCTTAGTAACAGTCACTAAAAAAGCTGCAAAGAGTTTTTCTAGCTCTAGGCTTCTACCAGATCGTTTGTACATCTCCACTGGCTCTACCAGCTGAAATAAACTAGTCATTACATTTAAAATCCAACACCCCAATGACCTACTTGCTACAGCCCTTCCACCACACACGTACACCCTCCCCCCGTCCTCCCCACCAAGATGCAAAATCCCACCCTCTCCTCTGTCACCAATATCAACATGTTGATTAAATTAAAAAAGCACTCTTGTGCTTTCTCCAATGTCATCCCTAGGCTTTTCCTGCCTGAAAAGCTACCACATCACCCTTTGCAAAACACTACCTTAATAACAAGCTACCTTCTACTATGATGCCTACAAAAATCAATACAATGGCTAGGCACCTGGTATAGAAACCAATTTTGTTTTCACTCCTATCTTGTTCTCGCTCTCTGTTGTATTTACTTGCTTTTTCCTTTTATGTCAACTCTTAAGGGCAAGGCTCATCTTTTCCTTATGCTAATATGCCTGGGCTTCAGTCACAACTGCAGCCCAAAGGTACTCCTACAATACAAGGAACCAAAAACAGTTCCCCTTGTTAGAAGTAAATTATCTTTTTAATTAAATGCTTATATCCACTGAGTGGAACCAACGTATGTGCCTCTGATCCAGCCTGGCAGCAGGAACATCAAATCTCCTTCATTTGAACCAATAAGTACAGAAATACCATAACAGAAGAAACTAGCAACTGGATTTGATATTAGATGAGGATTAATTAACAGCTTATAATAATTTTAAAAAATTGTCAAGGGACATTACATCTAGGCTAACTGTACATGCAATGAAAAGTATAAAAATACATATATTGCCATAAACTACCATCCTCAAAAATCAAGCACTTTGCTGAAGCTATTACTCACCTTTAATTATGCATCTTGAGCTAACATATAAAAGAACATTTATTCCAAATCTTACCTTCCTCCTTACCTTTATTCCAAATCTTACCTTCCCCTCCTGCCTCCTGCTGAAAACCTTTTAGCATAATACTTTCTGATCATGTGTTCATAAATTCCCTCCCTAGCTCTGCGTCTCCCGCGGGGCCTGTGTATGAAACAAGTGACGATAAAAAGAGTTCTTACTTTTCATGGTCCCTTCCTCTTCCTCCTCTTCTGTATTTATTACCATCGTGCCCAGCTGGGACTCCAGAGTGCCATCATGTTCTATCATGGTATTGGCTCCATCACTCATGGTGCTGGCAGCTCTTATTGTACCAGTCTCATCTCCACTTGCCCGTACCATTGTACCTGAATCAGTTTCATCTTCTTCCTATGGCAGGATATATGAAATACAGTTTTCAGGGCAATCTTATACAAAGGCTGACTACATTCAAAGAGAATTGGAACTAACTTCTAATAGCTCTTCAATAAGAGAGAGGATCTTACAAAATTACTATAAAACAGTAAAAAGTAAAGAATTACTTGGTGCCTTTCCTTCCCCCCTCATCCAAAAATGGGCAAGGAAAAACAATCTTCTCTGTTCCTGTTCCTCCAGCATTACCTGGTGTTAGAAATAATTGGATGACAAGTCTTGGAGAGTGAAGTTTTCTACTGAACCATAAATAAGCAGCGATAATAGCAATAAGAAGTACAAGCTCCCCAGCTAGAGCCTAATTTCTAACTTGGTGGCCCATCGCTAAAAGCAGTTAGATTAGAAGAGCTATTCAGTCTTTAAATATTTCTATTAAAGACTGTCAGGTATGATACAAAGCCCCATCTCCAGTGAGTATTGATTAAATTGCAGCGGTTTGTTTAGAGTATAAACAAACTAAAGAAGAAAGGGATAATCCTGGTTTTCAGAAGTTTATTCTTTAAAAAAAAAAAAAACAACCCAAAAAACTCACAGAAAAATATAATTAAATGTTCAAGTACTGAATTTGCAAGGTTTTCTTTAAAAAAGGAACTAGTCTTAATATTCATTTTTCAGAAACAAATAGTTTTTCTGGCCTTTTTTATATTTTTGGGAGAAGTCTGCAAAGCCTGCCTGTTCCTGCTGTAAGACAGTAGAATTTAAACCCTTGAGTCTTGCCAACAGTAATGCAAACTTTTAGAATCAAAATGAACATTAATATGGGAAAATAAATTTCCCCAAAAGTGCACAAGCAAAGCTAAATATTTGAGCCAGAATGTAGGCAAGACAGCCCTTTGAAAACATCTAATAAAATCCTGCCCATATAAACACTGACGGTAGAACAGTTAGGAATTTCAAAATCATGACAGTTTCTTGCAAATACTTCTTCAATCCCTGAATAAGAAATCATTTACTGCTTCTAAGCACAGTAAATGCTAGCTGAAAATCTGGTAAAATTAGTTACCAGGCAAATCACCTTAATACTGAACATTAAAAAAGATGACCACCTGTTACCAATGGATAGATCCAGTTCCTCTGTCTTCACATGACTATGATTTGAGTTACTATCATGAGGCTAATGTGCATACATCTCCCCAAGTTATATCATCATGTATCAACATCTCATAGCTGTTACGATGAGGAAGTATACACTGCCCTGCCCTGATCCACATGTCAGTGGCCTCTGTTTGTCAGGTAAGAATGCGATCTGTGGACACCATTAGTAAGACAAAGAGGGGAAGAAAAGGAAACCTGCAAAAATTAGAGGGGGAGGGAAATTAAATTTTATTGCTGGTGAAGAGTGAATCCCCTGCTCCCTGTGTGCCTGTGGCTCCGTGTCAAGCATCAGCCAAGTGCCCTGCCCACAGAGATCCCAACCCCAGCATCGGGTGCTGGACAGACGGGACAGGGTGCCCAGGCAGTGGGGCCAGGTCTGGCAGAAGTGGTAGCTGGAAGGAGCTGCCACTGGGGTCGCTGGGAAATGAAGCCCTAGCCCCGCTGCACACCCAGGGGTGACGGGACTGGCCACACATGCCATGGACTGGACTGCTCCCCATGCCTGGGCCAGGTGGGGCAGAAGAACCTGCTGCAGACTAGACAAAGTCCCTCAGCAGGCTGAATCTAGCCTGCAGGCTGTATTTTGCCCACCCCTGTTCTATTTTGCCATGTTTCCTTGTGAATCCCCCACCTGTAGCACAGTGAAACGCCACAGGAAAAGAAGAAAGTGTCATGGAAAACCTTACTAACTCTCTACCTCCAGAAAATCTAACATGGAGGAGCAAGAGAAGTTGCACTGGCATCAAAGAGCACCATGACATCAGTGCACTGTTCACTTAGGTGCAGAGCAACAGACCCTGGTGCTTCAGCCAATATAATTTCATAGATTTCATAGACATTAGGGCTGGAAGGGACCTCAGAAGATCATCGAGTCCAGCCCCCCGCCCGAAGGGCAGGAAGTCAGCTGGTGTCATAGGAACCCAGCAAGATAAGCATCCAATTTACTCTTGAAGGTGTTCAACATAGGTGCTTGAACCATGTCCAACGGCAGGCTGTTCCAGACCTTGGGGGCTCGGACAGTAAAGAAATTCTTCCTCACGTCCAGCCTGAAACAGCCTTGCAGTAGTTTATAACCATTCAACCTCGTCATCCCTTGCGGCGCTCTGGTGAACAAACGTTCCCCCAGATACTGGTGGTCACCCCTTATGGGATAAACTTATAGGTGGCCACCAGATCACCCCTGA